TATAAAAATTGATATAGTGAAAAATTCATAGTGCCTTTTATTGCATGGAGTTTAAGATATAAGAGTTTACCTGCGTCACCTGATCTTTCACTGAAATCAAAAACCCACTGAAGACTCTGTGACTCCTTCACGCCCCATGGCTTTTCTTTCCCTTAAATTTTCTTAATAAATTCACAGCCAAACGGTTTGATGCTCTATGTACAAGTGAAGACACGCCCAGGATGGAACAAACATGGCTGTAAAACCGAAAGCAATGCCAGAAAAAAAAAAAAAAGCAGAATTAATCATCTAAGTGTGAGATTGAATGAGTGAAGGAGTGGAACATTTGCTGGCTGTGCAAAAAAGCAGCAGAAATTGCAAACAAAAAAAACGTCACCATGTGATCAACAAAACCACAGTTCTTACAAACAGGATAAAACATGAGTGTGCAAGTGCTTGTGTGTGTGTTCTTGTGGGTACACCATGTGGCGTGCTTTGTTTACACAAAGCCAATGGTTTGTATTACCGCAGATGATGGTTGGGTTACAGTGAATGTTTGCTCTCCTGCTTTGTTGGAAGCTAAGTTAACATCCACTAATGTCATCTGAGAAACAAAAGAACGACACAGTTTTACATCTGATTGCTCTCAAGTGACTTCTGTGAAATGACTAACTTCCTGATTCACAGTTTCTGTTCATTCTTGCTGTCATGCAACTTTACATTTTATTTTCCAGTGTTTGATTGAGTCCCACATGAGATAAGATGTACTTGCAAGCTATGAAATACAGCAACATTTCATAAACCATGCTGCCAAGATCTATAACTTACTCTCTGTTATGGCTGCACGATTAATCGTTAGAAAATCGCGATCTCAATTCATACTTATGTGCGATCTCATTTCCAAATGACAACTATTTAAAAAAAAAAAAAAAAAAAAAGACGATGACGATTGTATTGTACGCATTTTGATCCGGGACGTACTCTGCATGAAAACAAGCGCTCACTCTTCCTGCTCAACAAATGACAAGGGCGGAGCCTTATACCACGTGATACAGAAGCTGTGCCGTGTGATGCTAAAATTAGCAGGGAAAAAACAACGGAGAGCACTTAAGGGATGACGAGAAAGTGACAGGAGAAAATCCGTCCCGGTCAACCACCCAAACATCAATAACGGGAACCTTATACAGCGCTTCCCTACTCCCGAACTCCCGCAGGCACAAAGAAATTACGGAGGCTATCACTTATCACCTGACCAAAGATATGGCTCCCATCAACACTGTGCAAAAGAGGGATTTAGGAAAATGATCAACACCCTAGACAAACGCTACACAGTGCCGTCCCGCAACTATTTTTCTATTGTTGCACTACATTTTTCGGCAACAACAAAGTGTGAGACATTTGTTGTTTTTAATGTTTATTTATTGTTTTTATGTTCAGTCTCAACTGTTACAAAGTTGATGTGCAGTTAATAAGTGCAATAAATATTTATACTGGAAAAGAGAATCGTGAGAGAATCGTGATCTCAATTCTAAGCCAAAAAAATCGTGCAAGCTGCAAAACTCAAATACATTCATGTGGTAGCTTCATACCCTTTCAAATTCAATAGGTAGGTTTCAACTGGGCAGGAGTGTTAAGTTCAACATTATGTGTAAAAAATGTGTACAAGCGGCTATTTCATGCATTTCCATCCACACATTCATGATTCTGCTATTACAACTGTCTACCTGAGCATCCTAATCAATGGAAACCATTAGACAGTGTTTCTATCATCAATAATTGAGTGAGGCTAAGAATTTGGCCTCAGCAATATCCAGCACTCTAGAAAGCTTGTATTTGTCTATTATAACCCCTCAGTGTTATTTCACATCACTGCTCGGTAACAGTACACACCAGATTCACAGTGCAATTTCAATTTAAGTCTTACAAATGGCTCACAAGGGTCATACAGTGCCAGCATCTACTGGGTGTATGTAATGGATAGTATGAGCAGTGTATTGGCCCAGAAAACATAAAATCAAAACTTTATTGATATAATGCACACAGCATAAATACAGGTCACACAATCCAGCTCTGACAAACAAGCCTGCTGTTTTTCTAGTGCAAAATTTCTCAGGAAGGATTCTTCCTTGAATGGGCGTTGTTGATGTTTGAGGCAGGAAACAGCAGTGGTCATGAGCACTGAAGTGAAGAGAAAATCAACAGATGACTGAAGAGAAGCAATATCATAGTGTTTTCAACTGCTGCATTAGTACACAAACAACAGCGACCAAATATTTGACTCACTTGCTTAGTTTAGCAATGAGGATAAAAACTTTTCAAGTAAAAAAGGTTTGCTGTTTTCTTGTTTGGATCCTTGTGTATATTTTTATTTGGGTGAAACTGTCAGAAGAAAAGGTCCCAGGAGTAAATCCAATCTTAATCTGCACCATTACTGCAATTACATGTAACGCATGTGGAAATGGGGGAAACTATCATCCACATCAGACATCCTTAATCAGATAAGTGCAGATAATGGATTAGACAGAGAACAGAATCTGAGCGACCAGACGACACAAGATTTACAGTAATGAAGCCAAATGGCTCAGTTCTATTCTCTCCTCGGGAACGATACCCAAAACAGGAAATTGTCACCCCCAAACAAACCACACACTTCAGCTTAATTCAAGTCATCTGACTGATGCAATGATCAGCAGGCTCTATTGAGAGGGCATGATGTCACTGGACACATAATGCAGACTCAGCATTTACAGTACATTAGCAGTGCTCGCTGAAAGCCCAAGATGGAGAAGAGTCTTCTCAGCTGGAGCACTTTTGCTAAGAGATCAGTGGAGGAGCCAGTTTAAGGGGCTTAAGTAAGATAAAAAAAAAAGCTCCTGAAACGTCCCATGCTACAAACAGATATAAACAGTCACAGCAGATCGTACACATTTTTTTAATTTGCAGTGAAAAAAATGAAAATGAAGATGTTGGAAAAAGTAAATGCATTTTTCTGAGTGCAGATAACTGAAAGCACACTGTGGTCTCGCACTTTGCTAAGAAAACTACAGGGAGATGAAACCAGATTGACAGACCACCACATCAAACACCTGTCTGCATGCTCTTCTTAGCACCGAGGACTCTCATTGAGCTTTTCGCTTGCCTCGGAGAAACTCTCCTACTGTCTGCATGCTTCAAGGACAGCCTACATCCAGCCAGCAGAGCAGGGTTTAATTTGGGGAACGACAGCCGGTGTCAGATAGAGACGAGCTGCCGCTGTTACACCTTACAGTGTAACAAAGCTCAACGGGAGCTTTTGACCTCTGCTGCAAACCCATCTGCTTGAGGTCATTCTGTGCATTATGGCAAATTAATCTCACTATGTCAGGTGTAAGGGGTGACTGTGGAATGAACAGAAAGACAGGAGGCTGACCTGGAGGTGGCAGTTGAAGATGCTAAGATTTTCACTGGGAGTGAGCAGAAGGGAAAGGATTAGAAATTACTACATCAGAGCGACTGCTCAGGCTGAGCAGAGGTAAGGCTGGGATAGCGTAGACATGTGGGGAGGAGTAATATTCATCAACAAAGGATGATGAATATAGAGCTGCCAGGCAGGAAGAAAAGGAAAAGACCACAGAGAAGATGCAGGGATGTAGTGAAGGAGGGATAGTATGACAGAGGATGCAAGGAGTAGGGTGAGATGGAGGCAGGTGGAGCAGCCAAAAGAAGAAGAAGAAGAAGGTGCACAACATGCAGGAAATGTGGCCAAATAACTTTACAAGAATTTAAATTGATTTCAATTTCATTTCAATTTCACTGGATTTGTCTAGGATCTCATACCCGATGCATTTTTGCCTTTCCTGTGCGGTCCTTGTGGATGCTGTGCAAAGGAAACCGGGTCCGATGCACTCTTTGCACCTAAAGGCCTCCCATGGTGAGGGGAGATCAGGTTACCCTTGCTAGACAGACTTTCCAGTCAAAATTAAAAAAAAAAAAAAAAAAAAAAAAAAAAAAAAAAAGGCCACCTCACCAAGGCTCAACTCCCTGCCAGAAAACCATGGGTTCCTCACTTCCTCCATCTCTCCCCATCTTTTACAGGTAAGATTAATTTTAATAATATTTAGGTTAAGCAGCTGCATTATGTTTGTCGAATTAATGAATAATCGAGATTATACTGATCATGGCGATGGATAAACTTATGAATTTTTGCTATTTGCAATTCAAATGTTCGGCCTGTAGTGCTATTTGCCCTCCCTCCTTGTTTTGGTGCGACTTTCCGAGTTCTAGCCTGCAGACACGCGAGGCTCCGCACATCAAACCAGTGTAGATCAGTGGATAAACTGCACTGCAGGCTATTTAAACTTTGTAAAATACAAGACGCAAGGGGACATATTCCCAGAGTTTCACCCTGTCAATTAACATACCACTGTGCAGGGACACCCACTGTAAGAAGAGCTTTCAGTCAAGATGATGACTGCTCTTCCTTATCTGGGAAGATTACCCTCGAGGATCTCTTTACACACAATGGATTCTTTGTGTCTTTCCAGGAGCTGCTTCCCACTTAGCCCACTTTATTCCCATTATTAACAGTTTCTTCAAGTTTGTCTAAATTAATAAACATTTCCAAATCGTTTCTATTTGACGCTTGTATACTGAAAATGCTCCCAGATGACTAACGCCGTTTAAAGCAGGATGTGTGCTTTAAACGGCCTGATAAGAGTACCAAACAGCTGAGCTGGCACAGACAACAACAGCGGCGGTGGCTGCTGGTGTCGTGTGGGAAACGCTCGGTCCACTCCCAGAACAGCGGCACAAAATCCCCAATACATGTCCGACGCGACCGCACAGTGTGGTGCCTTGAACAGACGAAAAAGAAAAGCCACAGCTGCGCGGTGCTCTGCTCTCCCCCACGTCCACCATCACCGAGGAAAAGTTTATGTACACCAAGCCTACATGCGCGCCTCGCTGAGCCTGACTGAGAGAGGCACGCTGGGAGGAAGAAACGCTCCTCTCCGTCTTCTGGGTTTCGCTGACGGACAGCTTACCTTTGAAATGCAGCGACTCGGTGGTTCGTATCTTCACCGTCCCGCTTATAGACTCCCCCGGACCGTAAACCACCTTGTTGTTGGTAAAAGTAATATCAAATTCCTGAAGCTTTCCCATGGCTCTGCTCCTCACTACTCCGCTACTTCCTCAGCTCTGCGTATCTCTGATGCTGCGCTCTCACCTGCTGCCGCGAGCTCCCTCCTCCCCACCTTCCTCACTCGCACGCCCGTGACGTCACGTTGACCTTTGATAACAGATGCGCTCATGTGTGGTTTAAGAGAAGATGATTGTTTGATATTGTAAATAAATGACCAGACTTATTTTTTATTTATTTATAATATCAACTATAGACAATAAAGCAGGAACCTTCAGGGCTGTGACGTTCCAATAACTGCAGTTCCTTTACTGGCCACTAGAGGCTACAAATGTGAGTCAATTTCCCATGTAACAAATGCCCAACTTTACAGCATTACAAAGCATGTTTTCAGCACTGTGTTTTGACTATTGCCCCCTGCTAAGAATTGTACAGTGAGCAAATTCATTTATAACTCATGAATCAGGTCACTGGAGCAGCTTGATGTGTTTGCTAGGCCACCTCCACTATCTCGCGTCACTGAGCTGGACCTCTTGACCATGCATGCGGTGTTGGTGTCTTTTGGAGGATTTTAAAACACTTTTTTGGGTCAAATATTCTTGGACACAGATCATCCAGGTAGTTTCTCCTCTGGTTTTCTTGCCTCAAAGTTGTTGTTTTTTTAAATTTTTGAATAGTATTAATTAGTATGGTTGTGCTTGTGCTTGTGCGTCATTCACAAGGGCAAGAATGGTGAGAATAAATGGATGTCACAAAACAGCCACGAGCATTCATATTCATTACAGGCCTGATAGTTGAGTGAGGCACGATAGTTCCCATTGAATATCCAACACTGTCTTTGTTTGAGTTATCATTCCTAATTAAATGTAACACTGGTATTAACCCCCTAATCTATCTGCTTTTTAACTAAATGTTAATTTTTATTTATTTTAAAGTTTACTTATTTATATCTGTGTTCACCCATATCCACCCAATTTATGTTCCCAAACTAATTATTTATTTATTTATTCATATAAGGTCTACTAATTAAAAATGTGTTAAAGCATCAGTATATTGCCTTTGGTTAATTAGTGACAGAATTAAAAGAAATGCCGTTTTTTGCAGGTAAATGATGATGCAGTGTAGATTTGTGTTTTCTCTTTAAATCTTGACACTTCCACAATGAATAAAAGTATAGTATCATTATTGTAAACAGTATTTTGTAGGTGAAAAATCTGAGGAAACGTTGCAAACAAAACATTTAAAAAATCTGTTTTGTTTTTTGTTCTTTGTTTTTAAATTTTCTTTGTTTTGTTTTGTTGTCTCCCTGAATGGCCCTTTAGGGATTTAACAACACTTGCAAGTGTTTTATCCTGCTGGATAAAAATGAAAATTACCACTTGTGCAAATGACATTCTACCTGCTGGGTTGTTTAAAAATGCTCTCTCTGCCATTGGCCCCTCTATTGTAGAGATATGCAATGCCTCACTTTTAACAGGTGTGGTCCCTACGTTCTGTAAGCATGCTGTTGTTGAGCCGATATTAAAAAAGAGCAGTTTGGATCCAACTCAGCTTAAGAATTATAGGCCTATCTCCAAGCTCCCATTATTGTCGAAAATTCTGGAAAAAGTAGTTGCAGATCAGCTTACCGCTTTTTTAGAAAAACATGACATTTATGACAAATTTCAGTCGGGTTTCCGTAAAAGTCACTCAACAGAAACCGCATTACTTAATAATAATGGATTGGATTTATATAGCGCTTTTCAAGGCACCCAAAGCGCTTTACCATACCACTATTCATTCACTCTCACATTCACACACACTGGTGGAGGCAAGCTACAGTTGTAGCCACAGCTGCCCTGGGGCAGACTGACAGAAGCGAGGCTGCCATATCGCGCCATCGGCCCCTCTGGCCAACACCAGTAGGCAGTAGGGTAAAGCGTCTTGCCCAAGGACACAACGACCAGGACAGAGAGCCCAGGGATCGAACCGGCAACCTTCCGGTTACAGATGCGATTCCCAACCCCCTGAGCCACGGTCGCCCCGTTAAAGTCTCTAGTGACATTATGATGTCAGCTGACTCCGGAGCATCCTCCATCATGGTTTTGTTGGAGTTGACATCTGCCTTTGACACCATTGACCATACCATCCTGATTAACAGGCTCCGGGACGTAGTCGGTGTGTCCGGTCTGGCTTTGAAGTGGTTTCAGTCGTACCTCTCCAACAGATCTTTTAGTGTTTTTGCAAATCAGTTTATGTCACATTCTAAGGATCTGACTTGTGGGGTACGGCAGGGTTCAGTTCTGGGTCCTATTCTTTTTCTTTTGTACATGTTACCTCTAGGACTTATAATTAGGCAGTTCCCTGAGGTGTCTTATCACTTCTATGCTGATGATATTCTGCTCTATTGCTCTTTTAAGCCGATGGAAGTCCTGTCCTCTTTAATTAAATGTTTAGCTTCCATTGAACAGTGGCTCGGGGACAACTATTTACAGTTGAACTCTGAGAAGAACATTAATTATTGCCCCCGACAACCAGATATCTCTAATCAAACAGCATCTTGGTTCTCTTGGCTCAGCTGTTCACCCGAGCCTCAGGTGTGATCTTTGATTCTGTCATGTCCCTAGAACAACACTCTCGCCAGTCAATTAGGAACTGTGAACTGTGAACTTTGCTATCTAAATCTGAGTTAGAAATGGTTATTCATGCTTTTATTTAATCTCGCTTAGATTATTGTAACAGTCTTTATCTTTGTTTGAGCAAAAGGAATCAGTTAGTCCAGAATGCTGCTGCAAGGCTTTTAACTAAGACACGAAAACGAGAGCACATTACACCAGTGTTACGTTCATTACACTGGCTTCCAGTACATTTTAGAATTCATTTTAAAAATCTTGGTACTGACTTTTAAAGCTTTGAATTGTGATGCCCCTGCCTACATTTCTGATCTTTTAGAACCCCACACTCCCTCTCGCAGCCTGAGATCATCTAATCAAAGGCTGTTGGTAGTCCCACAAACTTGTTTTAAGACCAGAGGAGATAGATCTTTCAGAGTGGTGGCCCGCAGGTTGTGGAATGCTCTCCCTCCATTTTTATGTTGCCTTGATTGTATTTATTCTTTTAAAAAGCAGCTTAAGACTCTTAAGGCTTTTAATTAGATTTGTATGTTTGATTATTGATGTATTTTATGTATTTCTGTTTTTACATTACTGTGAAGCACTTTGTGGTTTTTATCCTGTGAAAGGTGCTATGTAAATAAATTGATTTGATTTGTTGTTGTTGTGTGAACCATCTTCTAGAGATAACTGCTAGAATACCTCTATGAATGAAAGAAAGCTGAAAATGTCTGTATGGTACTTTCCAGAAAGGAGGTTGCATCACAGTGTCTGAGAAATTTCCAAAGAAGAGCTGCATTCCTGAACTTTGCATGTACTGAAGTACACCACAACACAAAAGAAAGCTGCTGGGGCTCTCTTATTTGTGCTTCCTGCCTGAATCAGTGTGCGGCAGTAATATGAGTGAATAGTCATTTGGGCATACGCAACAAGTAGACAGAGGCTACATGTGAAAAAATATAAGGTTTCTGGAAAGTCTTTGGCCCAAGAAGAACAAATCATCCAATTTGAACAAAATAGTTCACTGACACTGACAACACACTCCTCAAAATTTGCATAATTTTGATTTGGTTTCTTTCCCTATAACAAAGTTGAAACGCACAAAACCCAAGAGGAGAATTAGCATGAATTCAAATTAAAACCCTCCCCACTGCTCGCACAGTTTCTGTTTCAGTGCATACTTCCTCTCTCTGAGACGGTACTTCCCATCCCTGACTATACTTCCTGTCTCATTGTGTAGCTTCAGTGATGTGATTAGAGCTGTATATGTAAATGTTTTGATCGCGTTTGTGTATAAAAGGCTCACAGATAAGACCGTCTGTACTGTATACACAGTTTTTTTCAAGAGGCTTAATGTGTTGCATTTACCACAACAGAAAAAATATCGTTCCTCTTCCTCTACAGTCATGCTTGTTGGGTTAATTGGTGAACTTAAATTGGTCAGAAGTGTGGATGTGAGAGTTCGTGGTTGTCTGTCTCTCTGTGTGAGTCTTGTGATAGATCTGTCGCCGCTATATCAAGCCTGTTACCTAACCTGACCTTACAGTTAATACACTTTTAAGAATGAAAATTAGGTTGAGCTTGTTGCTAGTTGGTCATTTAATGCCAGATTCATGCCTCAAATACCTCGAGAAATATACATATTTTCTAAATGAAATTATTTGCTGAGTTATTCACTTATGTATTTATTTATTTATATTTTTAAATTTGGCTGTTTTAATCCTCCATACACACAGGCTGGTTTTATGCTCAGTAAAAGAAAAGTGTTCCCATGACAACAGACAAAACACCATAGTTGCCAAGTTACTGCCTGTATCCATGGAAATCTGTTATGTGGTGGCATCTAATATAGTTCAAAGAATCTCATTGTTTCTTCTTCTTGTTCTCAGTTTCACCTTGTTTGTTTACTCATGTTGCAAAAACAGCTTGGATCGTGAATCATTTTGACGGTGCCAGGCCGCAAATGAGGCGATTGCATGTCTGTAAGTAACATGATAGGATGTTAACACCATATGTTAGGTACGCCCAGCATCACCTGAGATGGATCCATGTGGGTGTAACTCACCATGTGCCTGCAAAGATCGTGGTTCCCCCTATTTTGTGGTTAAATCCTTAAATATTTTAAAAACCACACCACTCTTATCCCTTTATAAAGAGCCAGCTAACAAGTCTCCGTAACACGTTGACCTCTGACTGGGTAAATTACAGGTTTTGATTTGCTGAATAAGATGCGGGTAATGAAAATTACTCCAATAGCTCCATCTGGTGGACAAGTGCAAAAAGCTTCAACATCTGGTTTATTATTTTAAGATTACTATTTTTCTGTGATTCTGCTAACACAGATCAGACTTATTGCCTTAACTATAGTGCTGTGCAAAGGTCTTGAAGGATCCCTCATTACTTTATATTTTGCTTGGAAAATTGGAGATAGGAGCAGTGATTTGTTCAATCATATGCAAACATAAATGGAAATACAACTCTCTTAGGCAAGATTTCTTGTAATTTCTTAAACCAGTCTTCAGGAATAGCTCTCCAGGCTTCTTGAAGCACTTTCTAAAGCTGTTTGTTGGAATATGGCTGCATTGTGTTTCATTTTCTGTTGAGATGATCCCACAGTGTATCAATAATGTTTAGGCCCAGGCTCTGGGGTGGCAGTTTTTTGCTTCAATTTTCATAAATCAAAATTTCACAGTACTGGCAGTAAAGTTTTATTTAGTGTTTACTTTGGGAAGTGTTTAATTGGCTATTGTAGTAAACAGAGGACGAGTGTCCCTGCATCTTTTTGCCTTTGTTAACTTGCTTGGTCTGATCCTGAAGCATGTCAGCTCCCCCACTGGAGATATGCTTGGCCTGTGATTTCACATGCAGCCAGGCAGTGTATATGCTTTGTCAGTTCCACTCGTCAGTGGAATGACAGAGGCTGTGCTCAACAAACCCGTCTTTATAGCAACCGGTCCCTTTCGCAGTAGCTTATCTACATGAAAACCACATAACACAACACATCGAGCAAAACTATCAAAGGCTTCTGGGTCCCACACCACTTATTTGTGGAGAGATCAGGTTGGCAGAATGTACTTTGGCTAGTTTGTAAGTGTTTGGAAGGAGGAACTGCTATTTCAGATTTGTATGGTTACCAAGATGGTTGCCCCAAGCCACCTTAAGTAGAGAGAAATCAGATGTCTTACCAGTGGTAAAGCAAGATAGGGCAAGCTTGGAGATCCCATATGAGCCCAAAAGTAGCAGCTGCATCACGTTGATACTTGAAATAGGTATGCTATCAGGATGAAGGAGTGGTATCTCTGGCAGTAAGTGGGTAAAGTGGCAGTACAGCCAGCCTGTTCCACTGGAGGCAAAACTGGATAAGAGTAAGGCAAAGCCAGACTGGATGATACATATGATGCCAGCTGAGGTTTAGGCACTCAGCAAGAGTGCTAACAACAAATTCACTAATATGTAAGGACATTTCTACAACAGTCATACCAATGACAAGTGAAGTATATGGAGACTTTCTGACATAAATAGATAAGAAGGCAATCATAGCACCATTATCTTTATTTCATTCCTCAGCGGTTACAGATGGAGCACAAGTTTAAAGTAGCAGTTATTAATAGTTTAGGGAGCATAGTGAGCAGTAATCGTTTGCAGCAGTATAGAGGCTCAGAGGAAAAACACATCTACTTCCAGGCTTCTTCATCTTGTAGTGAATCCTTTTACTCCAGTTCAAGTTAACTCACAGACAGGTCTGTGTTGCTTTATACATTTTATATATATTATCTATATTATACAAATTATATAATTTTAAAAAAGGCAGCACTTTTCTACTACTTGGCTCCTTTTTCTTCTTCCAATAGGCAGGTTATGGCGATGGCCTTCGTCACTGCATACGGGTCACAGTTTGCTGCGGGACGGCGGTCCTCAAAGTACCCTTTCTTCTCTTGCCCCACCTGCCGTGGGATGCGGATGCTGGCACCTCGATTGGCCACTCCAGCAGAGAAGTCGTGGATGCTGGAGGTTTCGTGGAGACCTGTGAGGCGCCTGATGTTGTCCTTGCCTTCATGAGGGTCGTACACACGAATGTGCTCAGGGTGCTTTTTCCCCAGCTTATCGATAGCCTTCTCAATGTACCTGCCATCAAAGAAACATGTATTTTTACTGAAGTTTCCATTTATTACTATGTTTGAGAAGGCAGTATGTTGAGCATCAGTGAACAGTTGTTTAAGCATGATTAGTAAAGATTAAGACAGCATCACTCTTCTTCATATTTGCTTCTAAGAGGACATTATTGTAATTTTTAAATACAGGTCTTGAGCAACAGTTTTCCAGGTTTTCTGAAGGTCTTTCAAAGTTTTGCTCTGGATATTGACTGCTTTTTAAAACCATTTTATAGTCAAGTCCTTGTATTTGATCGTTTTCAGAGAATGTTTTTTTTTGTTTTTTTGTTAAGCCACTGAAGACTTTTATCTATGAATCTCACTTAAGGGAATAACTTATTTACACTACAACTTAGGAAAGAACCAATTTAAAATTGTATCTTTGGGTAATTTGTTACTAGCAGTCAGTCACTTAAAAACACACATAATTTCTTCCCGTTTCTTGAATCAAATTTATTGCATACATAGAGTATCCAATAAAGTATCTGGTGAGGGGATATAGTGCTGCATTTTATTTAATTTAAAGAAATACTTAAAATAAAAAATAATAAGAAAATACAAGCTGTTTTTAAGCTTTTCAAATGTGCCACTGGTCCTCCTTTTTGTAGTACAATGAAGAGCTTTTGTATGTGTATCTTTTGAAAGTCTGGAGTTTACTTACTGCAGTCCTCCTTCTTCCCTCATCTCCTTGGTGCTGACATTTGTGTGGCAACCAGTCCCGTTCCAGTTGCCCTTCATGGGTTTGGGGTCCAGAGTTGCTACAACCCCGAAATCTTCACAGACACGGTGCAAAAGGAAACGTGAGACCCACAAATGGTCCCCCATCTCGATGCCCTCACAGGGGCCCACCTGGTATTCCCACTGAAGCCAGAGAAAAAGAAAGATGCAGAGACAAGAGGGAAATGTTCGAGGTGAAAACATTAACACTGTTAATAAATGATACGTTTAGCTAACTGCAATTTGATAGTTTTTTTTGACTGTTAGAAAACAAAGAAATTATAATGAGTAACATTTGCTAATGGCCTAGTATTTGCTTGGAAATCACTTGTGAATTATATTTATGTTTCATATTTATCTGTGTATTAAATTTCAGTTTTTTGAGCTCAGTGTTTTCTGCGTCATTGAGCTCATTTTTCTCTGAAGAATTTTGTTTTGTAATCTTGTTTTTTATATTTTTTTAGGTAGGTTGTTTTGAATGTTTTGGCTGCTGTACCAGAGTATTTCCCCAGGTTCTGGGATAAATAGCTTGTCTCATAAATATGTCATATGTTTGTAATATATAACAATATTTAGTCATCGTATTGTATCAAATTAACATTGTCTGAATTAACTGTAAAGTCATAACTAATGTTTGTATGTGGTCATTAAATACTGTTGAGCCATCCACTTTATTTGGACAGCTAATAAATTGTAAATAAAGTTGTAGCTGACTTTATAGTCACTATAACCTATACTTGTTTTAAATTGCATTTCAGTAGGGAGGTTGTGCTGTTTTGCCTTTTGTTACTTTCTCTTTTGCTATCATTTTATTTTCTGTTTTAAACTAGCTGGTTAAGTTCAGGAATTGTGGTTCAAGTTTGGGGTGAGACTGTTTTCTTTATTGTGTGGCATCACTGGACTGTAGCAGCGTGAGTATTTCATAGAAAGCCATGTTATGCGTGGTATGTTGGGGAGGTGTACCCATCTACCCATCTCAATGTCACAAAACTTATCTCGTCGACGCAAAAAGAAAAATGCAATGGAAACAAAAGAAATGTGATGCAACCTTTTCTGGGTGTTATAAAAACGAAACAAGAAGCTAAAAATCCAACTGGCAGAAATCCAAAGCAGGAGAACTAGAAGATAAGAATAGTTTTTAATTATTTCATGTTTTTCTGACTAAAACAACTCCGTGATGCCCTATAATGAAAAGGCTCATTGAGTAGTAATAAAAGATTTATTACTAACCAAAACTCAAGATCGCAGAAAAGTTAATGGCATAAAGAAACACAAAATACATTGTAACCAGTGATTAATAAATATTACATACATTTAATTAGCTATGTTTATTATAAAGTGCTACTGCCATGTATTGGAGTAGTACTTTCACTTACCTGAGATGGCATAACTTCAGCATTAGTACCGCAGATTTTGATCCCAGTATAGAGGCAGGCCTTGTAGTGGCACTCCACAATGTCCCTTCCATAAGCACTGTTGGCCCCCACCCCACAGTAGTAAGGACCTGAGGACACATGATGACACAAATGAAAAACCACAATATCAAGATACACTGTATGAAAACTGTACGACGGCTATAAACATTTAGGTTCTGAGCCTATAAAAAGTGCATTTGTGATGCTTGTTTTCAGACAAAAATTACAAACATTTACAATATGAAGTGTCTGAGAAATGATTTGTCTACTTCTTTTCTAACTTTACAGAAATCCTTTGTATAGCACTGACCACTGTGCTAACTTGAATAAAATAATGATAACATGTGGGAAAGAGAAGTGTGGTGCTCAGAGAATCTGAATGGATTTACAAGCTCCTTAAGAATGTGAAAGCCTTTGTTAAAGTTTAGAAACGTATCAGCTGTGCTAGTCTACTTTTGGTTTTGTTCCTTTTGTCTGATTTCATACCCTGTCATTCTTGGAAAGTGTCTGTTTTGTTTCTGAGAAATTCTGTCATTACCTCTGCTTCTCTGACTTTAAATGTAAATGTGTATCATTTTGTGGGATATTGCTTCACTCCACACTCTCCGTGACCCAGATAATAGCACAAGGATTTACCACAAGCTGGCAATGGGGTTGTCACTGCAGTATTTGTATAAAAAACAGTAAAAAAAATGACAGCTCGGTTACCTTGGGGTGCTGGGAATCCATTTGGAGGCCAGCTAAATGGATGTCCATCTGTTCCCAGAAGTGTGTACTCCTGTTCCATACCGAACCAAATATGGTGCTCTTTGACCTTTTCCATCACTTTGTTGCAACTTGCTCTGTGGTTAGTTTCTAAAATAAAAGTCAGAGCAGTCTATTATTATGATCTTAGACGATGTTAAGGGTAAAAAGCATGGACTGAAAAAAATGTACCAGCAGGTAAACGGTTGTACTTCAGGACCTCACAGAGAACCAGTTTATTGGGGTCAAGGTTGAATGGATCCCTGAACATGCAGACCGGGATGAGGTACATGTCACTGTTGGAGCCTTCGGCCTGGTAGGTGCTTGAGCCATCAAAGTTCCACTCAGGTATTTCTAAAAATAGAGACTTCTTATTACTCCTCTGATTAGGCGTCAGTGTTCACATTCTTTTTTAAAGTGAAACCTGATTAACTTGATAACTACGTTAATAGAGATGTCATGGAAAATTCCCATTCATACTATCTGCTTGGTGAGATCTGGCCCTGTTACTAAAAGTAGACATAAATAAATGTAACAGGACAATGGGGAAAAAAGACAAACATAAAAGAGCACAATTACAGTAAAATGTGCCAAAGTTCTCTGGTAGCGAAGACAAATTAAGAAAAGACAGCGAGCACACTAACTTCTCAAGCTTAGACACACCTGGAATATTCTATTTAATAATAAATCAGTTAGATTTCAGTGAGTTTCCACAGTGGATTTACTTCTTTCAGTTTATTTTTTTCATTTGAAAATGTTTAGCTTTTATTTAGTTCTTTTAAGTTTCTGTCATGGCTGTGTGAAGGCAGGAAGGAATCCCAAAAGCAGGACTCACAGAGGCAGACGTAAACTCAAAACACTCAGTTTTATTGCTGGATAGCAACAGAACAGAAAACTAACTAAATTGAGAATACAAAACAAACTAAACAGGCAGGCAAGCTAGCAAAAGGAACACACAGTGTAAATTTAGCAGGGGAAGACGCAGATACTAAACAGGACTGAGAGGAAACAGCTGGGAGACATGGCTGACACTGATTACGCAGACAAGACAGGGAGAGCACAAAACTGAACGCACTGACATAAGACATAGACCTTCAAAGTAAAACAGGAAGTACATGACAGACACAGAGATCCAGACTAGACAGTGAGCTTAACACACTCATGAGCAGACATAATAACATCAAGGACAGACGGAACACAGATACGTGGGACCAGGGCAGGCACAGAACAGAAACCTAACAAATGGCAAATCATAATGAAAGACATAACCAGAATAAACAAGAACATAACATATTATGAAGAAACAAAACACTGAGTCCTCAGACATGACAGTTTTAGTGTTACTTTCAGTTTTTTTAATTAATATTGTATGAATGGGCATGTGCCAGGTGCACCCCCATAATGTTTTGAAAGCAGTTGGCTCACAGTCTTGTAGACATTCAGAGTCTCAATAAACACGTCAATCAAAGCCTCATCGGGCAGGTTGTAATAACAAATTGAAAGGGTAGAAAAGCTGCCCTTCACTATAAAGCTAATTAAACATTAAGTTTTAGACTAAGTGCCTCTCACCCCAAAAGGTTAGAGCTTATTAAAAATGCCATTCACCTTCTATGCTTTTTGGTTCTGTGTCTAGAGTTCTCGTCTTGTTCCGAAGTGTCTCTCCAGTGCCATCAATCCAGATGTAGGTGACCTGGCATTTCTGTCCTTGAGGCAGGCTCATGTACTGCTGCCGCACAGTTTTGTTGAGATGAGAGCTGGATGACACTGATGCCATTTTCACCTTCAATTGCAAAAGTGGATAATTACAGTAACAGATGGCATTTTTTGACTTTATGGCACCTTCAATTTCCATGTTGTGCTTTTTTTTTCTTCCCATAACAAACCTACAACTATAAGGTTTTTTCAAAGTTATTAAAATGAACCAGCGGCATTACTTCACTTGTCAAGTCTCACAAGATTAATTTTCCACATCTAGTTATAGTTCCACATGAGTTTGACACTCCTGATTTCTAGCAATCAGTTTCAGAATGTAAATATAGTGCTATAAGGTATTTAACCAGACACCAAGAAGATAAACATCCAGGGCTTGAAACACATTCACAGACAACCTCTGAGAAATAAAAGAAAACTTAAAGTATTTGAAAATAATATAACGTAATCAGTGATGCACATAAGCATATGGTATCTAACCCTAAACAGGAAATTGGACATTATTTCACTTATATGCTACTCATAAGTAGGTCAAACACATTTGAACTTTATCTAATGTATTACAGTTATAATTTGACTAAACTGACTTTTATATATATATTTTAGGTTCTGTCAGTGCTGCATTCATCAACAGATAAAGTTGTTGATGTAGAGTGAGTAGTCTTAACAATTTCATATACAAGTAGCTGCTTTGTTTTAATTTACCTTCATTCCTTTTGTTTCCCTACATTTATTTGTATGATGTTAATTACATTTATTGATGTTTTATTACATTCTTGTCTTAAGAATGTAACTTTTAATCAAATATGTCTTAATAAAGTTTTTAGTAACTATTTGTGATAAAAAAAATGTTTCATTGTTATACTTTCAGATACTAACAGGGCAACTTTAAACATGAAAATTAAGAAAAAAGTAAGATCAATCTCTTCCCTTTTTAAGTTATATCTTAATAACTGGAAAACAGTGGCATACCATTCTCAGATTTAAATGAAGCAAATTAAACAAACAAAAACAAAGAATTATTTGAACTTACTCTTTTACAGTCGGTTCTTCAGGTGAAGAAGTGTCTAGCTTCCGAGTCAAGTTTGAGAATGAGGTGCCTAAACCTGTTTGTGGTATTTAGCCAGAACGCAAGCTAGGCTGCTGATGTCACCTGTTACGTCCTGACGTAATATGGCATTTAAATACTTTGTGTGGGGTTGTCCATGTAAGCAGCAAACACATACAAGAAAAAAACACATACACTATAATGTTTTGATCAGTCCACAACAAATCCTGCAAGACTGTAAGCGCCTTCAGTACAATCTTTGACAGTATTCCTGCTTCTCTTCTATGGAGAAACAAACCAAATGGTAAACATATTACATTTATACTGTACACACCTCATGTACAAAGCACTGACCTATAAGATCCAAGTATGTGCCCCTATCCAGCCAAACGAAAACAGTGCACAGGTATAGCTCAGGGTATCACAAACTCCCATGGAAAACAGTAACAAACACCCACCTGATGAAAGGCCATCTGCTGATAGTGACTGACTGCTGTTTGCTGAGCTGAGGGTCTTGCAGCTCACTGAACACAATTAGAGACCAGAAGCTGCTGCTGGCTTCAGTTTCCGTCAGGTTGGCTGTTCTGAGATCAGGCAGAGGGGCAGAAATTCAGCAACTCTAACAGAAAAAGAATTAGTCACATGGGATCCATTGAGGATGTATTGAAGTGTGTGAGATGTAGATGCAGAACAGGCCAAGAGCATAAATAAGAAAAGAGATTGTAGGGCTCACCAGCCACAAGCAAGCAAATTGCTCAGTTGGCATTATTGTAAGACAATGTTTACTTTACTTGATATTGGGTCTGAAAAAGTAGCACTTGTCTCTGATATTTGATGACTACAGCAACCTATTGCTCTGATATTCTTCCTTGTATAGAGAAGACCACTTGTTACTGAAATACAAACAAAACCACATTTTAGAAAACAAAATACTGGTGGACACCAGTAGATGCACCTGTGGTATAAATATGAAAATCCTAGGTGATTTTCAGAAATTGACCTTAACCTTGAGGTTGAGGTTACAAAGTAAGTCTAAAGGAAATGCATTTTATAGATATGTCTTTTCAGTCAAATTAAAAACAAGTTTAAGGAGGGATTACCACATTGCCTTAATGAGACGATCTCATTACTGTGAGCCATCTGCCTTCACTGTGTTGTGTTTGTGTTGTAATATGTAGTGTGAACTGAAAAACATCATTAATACAACATTAATATCACCATATTAATGTAGCACAATAATTCTGATATAAACAAAACTAACCCCTCCCAAAACAAACAAACAAACAAACAAAAACAAACAACTAGATTGCTAAATGGACTACTATGGATGGATTACTACAAGCCTCATTTGTTACGTCTGGCGCGGCAGACGTGTGGAGTTCGAGAGTAGGACCCAAGATGCAACTTTTGACGAGAGTGAGCTTTATTTTATAAGGTGGGTGAAAACAAACAGCAAGGCGAGAATAAAACCTAAACCAGAAAAACTAACAAAATAAACCTGAAACCAAAAACAGACATGCAGGGATACACAGAGCAAAAACATAAGCCGGCGAGCGATCACGCAGACAAACCAGCAAAGCGCACACAAAAACACAGGGCTTTAATACACACAGGGCAATCAGAGAATGGGAAACAGGAGGGGGACACGGCTGGCATTAATTGAACATAACAAGACAAGGGGAAGCGAAACTAGAAACACTGACAAAAGAAACAGACCTTCAAAATAAAACAGGAACTCACACATGCAAAGACACAGACTAAGAAACACGGACTTTACACAGAGGAATACACAGGCAGAAATGACTAAACACTAAACTGAGGAAGAACAGAACCGAAAACCAAAGAGCAAGAAAACCAGAACCAAAATACATCACAATAATAGAAAACACAAAACGCTGGGTCAAAAGACCCGAGATCATGACATCATTGCCTTCAAGCCTGTTTAACCTAATAGTCACACAGAAGCATCAGGGGTAACTCAGGGTTCAGTTTCTTGCACTAGTATGCTGCAAAGATTAGCTCTATCTCTCAAGCCACAGGAGAAGCATACCTACTAATCAATGAAACTTTATTGTTTAATGGGCATGTTGTTTATTTCTTGTCTAATGAGTTGAACCTATAACAAAGTGCTACAATATGTATTTTTTAAAACAAACTTATTGAGCTACTCAGTCCACCTTTAACGTATCTGTTTTGCCCTGTTGTGGCATGAGGAAACAAGTTCTCAATAACTGGAAATGAGTTCACGACAGTGCTGATATCTGTCACCGTCAACAATTTTTATTTCAGCACTCACTGACGAGGACTCTGTGCTAAACTGATCTAAAAACTTTGCACCGTAGTGGTTAAAATCTCATTCTAATAAGAGTTAAAAGCGCATTCGGTTATTAGGTTTATAGGGTTATTGAATTATGGTTAACGGTTGGTAGAATTGCTAAATCCTCTCCATTCACAAGACGAATTCAGATCACCGCACTGTTCTCAAAAATGGCCATTTTCAGAAAAGCAATGCTGTCTTCAGCCCCTCAAGCAACTTATTACCTTTGCCAATAGGGTTACACCATCTTCTCAGTTTATCTGTTTGATTACTTAGAAGAGTTTCATTAAAATTTTAAAAGAGATTTTGTTTTACAAGTCTGCAATGATTGTGAGAAAGAAAGGTTTAGTCATAAGTGATTTTTTCTCTTTGCTTGTTACTGTATCTAACAAATAATAATAATAAATAAAACAGCTTAAGCAAAAATTATTTTTGATTTGTTTTTAAGCCAATTCAAACCATATTCTGTATTTGCTAATTTTGCTTCCTATTTGTATTGCCTTACTTTATTTATAAATATTTCTGTCATGCCAGAGATGGAGCTCTGGGGACGGCAGCATTAGTCTGTGAGTCAGTAGTGAAATACAGCATAAAATCTTAGATTAGTTACTCTTAATGTCTGTATGGTATACTCCTGGTACTCAGAGGATGAGTACTGCAGTGCCAGAGTCAGTTCAAAATATCTTGACAGACGTGAAAAACAAAAAACATTCCCATCAGCTTTCTCTATGTAAATGTCAGCATGTTTGAGATTGCTGCGAAGGTTGCAGCAGGTTTCTGTTTGTCTTCACCTTAAGACTCAAGTTCAGCCTGAGAGTCATGCACAAAAGGAAAGTAATAATCGCTACCTCGGTCAAATATGATAATCCCCAAAACGGGACATACAGGTTAGACATCTAGCTAGATACAAAATGTGACGCCACCTTAAAATAGACATGTTTTTTGGGTGAGTAATTTAGGCGTGTGCTCAAAACTCATCAGGCTGAGTGGATGTACACTTCACTGGTAACTGAACCACTGGAAATAATTCCTTTGGTTTTAGTTAGCAGTTAGCATTAGCAGCACATCCTGTGTCCGATGTGAAGGGACTTTTATGCTCACAGCAATGGTCCCGGGTCAGCCCTGACGTTGTGTTAAACTAATCCTAAAGTAATAATGTTATTTCTAACCACTGATATACCACAACTTTTTCCTTTCAACAGCTGCTGAAAGTTAGGGGACCTACCTGCTATCGGATATTTATATAGAGATTACCCTTCAAGGACCTGCAGTTCAAAAAAGCGCCCCTCCGACAGCCAAACCCATCTGTTCTCTGATTGGATTGTTTAATTTGTGATTGACATGACATTGACCAATCAGCTTAAAGGAAGAAAAATAGGGTCAAAATTCGTATTTGTAACTTGCAGGGTTTTTTTTGATCCACACACAAATCTTTTTTATTGTTTTATTGTTTTAGCCACCCCAGGTGCCACCCCAGGTCTGGTTGGGGGGGTGGCCACCCCGCTAGACACGCCACTGCTTAGGACCTTCCTACTTATATTCATCTCTCCTTTTTGTTCCTAACATGTTTGATGTTTGACCTTTTTAGATACAAAACAATACTAAATAATGATTTAATAATTTGGGTAACAGTCTGCTGTGCTGTTGACCTTTGGCCAGTTAAGCCTAAAATCTGAAGAAATTCCCTCAGGATTCCCTGATGACTTATATACAAAAGTATACCATAATGCCTAAAAATACGTATATTTATTTATTTCTATTATTATGATTTCGTTATTCGCAGGCTATTACTTTAATTAACTATTCGTTAGTGTAACTAACTATTATTATTCCAGCACTTACTTTACCTTAAAGAATACAATAACATCATTCTTGAGTTTTTAGATTAGGAGTAAAAATTAGATTAGGAATGAAGTTTGATATTTAAAAAAATCTTTATTTATTGTCGAGTTTCAATATTCAAATATATAATTGAGAATTCAAATTGAACATAATGAAGCTCCGAGCATAAACATTATGATGTTATCTTGTTTTTGTCCAGTATTTGTTGAGCCCCATTAAACATAGACAACCAAAAACATTTTTAAGGCTGAACATGAAGCAAACTGCAGCCAACATGAACCCAAACAAACCAGGTAAACTCGTCAGGCCGTGAAAATGAAGATGAAGCCACCTGTACAGCCAGTCGTTTCCTTTAATGACAACACTCTACTTACAGACAGGTTGAGCTGATACTATTAAACTACACAAAAGAACTTTTGGGCTCAGACTCAAAGAACAAACTTGATGTGCAGCATTCGTTTGCATGGTTTTGTTCTTTGTTGTAGGAAAACTGCAGCTTTACAATTGGAGTACCAACCTTTCAGGAACCAGAGATGATGTGCAAAAGACAAAAACGCTACACCCTGTTTTTAAAAAGTGTCTTTCTATGGCTCAGCCACAGGTCTACAGTATATTAGCCAGATGTCATGTGTCTCGTGGTATTTCAGTGACACCTAACACTTACCAATCCCATCTCATGAATTTTGGCCATATCTCAATCACCAAACATCTGTAAATTATCCATAAGTAGCAACAGTAACAGTAGGCTCAAATGTGCCCACTTTCAGAAAGGTGTGGAGTTAGCTTTTAATGTGACATTATGAGTAAGTCCTTAATAAATAAGGTGTAGCCGCAAAATAATGACATCAATTTCAACAAAGGACACTAACTTAATGCTAAATAGCTGCCTAATAATTAAATCAACAAAAGGAAATAATGGAGCCAATGCTTTCAGGCTGAAATATCTCATTTAGGATTTGAATAAAATAAAATCTATCCTGTCTCCACAGTCAAACTGACATTATAGTTTGAAAGTCAAATCTTGACTTTAAATCAACACTCAGTTTATTCAACACTTTGCCATCTATAGTGCATTTATACTCTTTAACAAGCAGCAGCTTTGAATGCCTCTCAGGTAACACACATTTCATTTTATTTGACACACAGTGCACACAAACCTGAAATGGTTTGTCTTGTTTGAATTAAAATGAAAGTACCTTGACTTCACTGGAAACACTTATTGCACAGGATATGCAAGAACTAGATTTACTGCCTCCAACAACCAATAAAGTTGTTGTTTACATGGAGACTTTCCAGGGTAATAAGTTGTTCCCCAGATTTAAAGGAATAGCCTATAATACAAAATGACAATATTTTCCCTGTTTCTTAGGTGCTACAGCACATGGGTGCTGTATTCACTTTTTATGATATGGGTTAGAGTTTGGGGCTATAGACGAATTAATGTGTAACAGAACATAGAACACGTGGATCTGTGAAAATGATGCAACCAGTTACATCCATTTCTTTTCTGAGTTATATCTAATTACTAAATGATTCTTTGCAAGGTTACATTTACACTTTTACACTAAATCACTTTGTCTAAGGTAAGTTTACTTTTGTGCAGCTTTTAGTATAAAGCTCATAGCTTCTTAGCCTTGATTTGGTATTTGACAGTACTGTAGGAGACAATTCATGCTTCAGGAAACTAGGAAAAATACACATTTAAACAGTTAATCTTACACACATAAAAATACAAATATTATAACCAAAACAAACAAACAAACAAAAATGGTATTCAAAGCACCTTGAAAGGCATAGCTCAAGTACAAATGAATGATAGAGGAAACTAATACTGGCAATACCTTAAGTTTGACCTTTAAATCTCTTAGCAGTTGGGACTTTTGCTTCTTGACTTGCATCAGAAAGACGCTGCCAGCTGCTCTTCCAAATGGTAAGACATGGTTGAAATGCCCAGTAAAATTAAAAGCGAGAAGCCCCAGATCAGGCTTGCGGGCCAGGTCACGCTCAGAAGTCCCTACTCTTCAATAAGTGTCCTTATATGTCAAACTTGTCTCTTTTCTTAGGCCTTTCTCACAATGCGGCCGCACTTCCTCAGGTCCCTCATTCCTCTATTTGTCCTGACCGATTGGATGCTTGCCCTCCAGGCTCCCTGACAAACACGAGCACTGAAAGGAAATACAGAGAGTTTGAATGGAAACCTCATTAAACTTAGACAATCCAAGAAAAACGGGTGTTGTGGGGCATCTACAACATGCCGCACAACACTTCAATTCTGTTCAGTTAAATTTTATATATACAACAACAGTTGCTTGAAGGCACTTAATTTTAAAAGATAAATGCTCTAATATTAAAAAGAAACAAAGAAAACCCCAATAATCATATGACCCACATGTGCAAGCATGTGATTGATTTAAGTAACAGATTTAAAAATATCATTAAAAACAAAGGGGTTTTTAATGATCTTGTATGTGTTTTTTTTATTGTGATTGATTGTCTATCTATTGCAGGTTCGAAATGGTGACAGAAATGTTCTTTCTGACCCAAAATGACTTTTCATCATTCGTTACAGATATGGTCGACAGATTACAGTCAACCAAGACTGGTGGTTGTGAATGTTTCACCAGCTGCTGTGTGTGTGAACATTTAACACATTATAGCTTTAGTTTGGTAAGTCATTTACAAGTTCTGCAAAACCTTTCTTTTCTCTGATCTCCCCCCGCCCCTCAACAGCCATTTACTAAAAACTATCAGAGGCTGCAGGTGGTTAACACTACTGATTGATTACCGCCATTCATACACTTAAACACACTCACACATACCTGGAACTCAGCAGAGGTCGGTCAGCTCGTTTGCGAGGCTTGGCGCTCTGTCTCCGGTACTGCATCCAGCCGCAGACCAGGTCGTGCGCGATCATCACGTACAGCAGGAAGATGAGCACGGCGGGATCCATTCAGCCGCCGTATGACACGCGGCTGGCGCGAATGAAGCCGGGGTAAACGAGAAGCGGGGACCGCACGAGGCTGCGGGTGTATGATCTTGTGCAGGATGGCAACTGAGAGATGGATGACTAAGATCCAGAAGGGGGCTGGTGCCCAAGTTGCCCTGTGCCCACTTTAGGCACTCAAATCGCAAGACACGAACGGCTACCGCAGTGGTCCCTCGGATTACATCCATGATAGCACAACATCCTCCAGAACCACCCCGAACATCCGAGTGAAGCGGTGGTTTCTGTGCGTCTCACGGGCAACATCTGAAAGCCGCGGTGACAACTGCAAAGAGGGGACCTCGGAGGATGTTGCCGTAGAGACGCGACCGTTGCTAAGGGCATGCTGTCGTCATCCCATCTGAACGAAGCATCTGCACCCAAGAACACATTATTGCTTAGGCTGTTATTTATCCTTTGACACACGGGTCATGCAGCAATTAAGTCTTTTTTATTTTTATATGTTAGTAGTATATTATTCACCTTATATAAATATTTAAGCCACACAAGTATGTGTAATTTGCTTGCTTTCACTTCAACAGTAAGCAATCTGAATATAGAAACCATAAAATATTTGTTACTTTGAAATTAAATGAATGACGAGTCTCTGAAGTGCCACATTCTGTATCTTGTGCACAAAAAATATTTACCCCGTGAGAAGTTTTTATGTGGTGAGCACATTATAAGAACCCACCAGGTAATTACAGTGTACACAAAGGATTAAAAAAATTATAAAAATTGGCAACTTGACCTCAGAGTAATTTCTGCAATAATTTTCAGCAAATAGGTTTTTATTTCAAACACCACATAAACAGTTTCATAATCTCCCACATAAAAGGGCTATACACTCCCTGGCCACTTTATTAGGTACACTTTGGGAGTATCATGTTGAACTCCCTTTTGCCTTTGTTCTTTATGGCATAGTTTCAACAAGGTTATGAAAACATTTCTGAGAGATTTGGGCCCATATTGACATTATGGCATCAACGGTTGTTGCAGATTTTTGGGCTGCACATAATGCAAAACCTCCCATTCTCCAACTGCTTTATTAGATTGAGATCTGATGTCTCTGGATACCATTTGAATACAGTAAACTCATTGTCATCTTCAAAAAAAACAGAGATATTTTTAATTTTGTGACGTGGTGTGTTGTCCTGTGAATGCAGTCATCAAGTACACTGTGGTCATTAAGGCATGGACATGGTCAACAAGAATACTCAGGTTTTTAAACAATGCTCAGTTGATACTAAACTGCTCAAAGTGTGGAAGAATATATCTCCCACATCATGCTGAACCATTAATACAAGGCAGGTTGGATCCATGCTTTCACATGTTTACACCAAATTCTCACCCTACCATTCCAGTATTTCAGCAGACAGCTGAAGGTGTTCATATTATACAAATATTGATAAATGCACGATAAACTTTCTTGGCTTTCTGTACAAGCTAAATTATACTATGGCTTACTTGTATTTTTAAAGAAAGCAATACTGGTAAACACACCGCACTTTTTTATGCTCAGTTGCAGTATCCAGATGAAATACATAATCATGCTACACGATTCTCAACTAACCACAATTTAGTAACTCCTCGAGTTAAAAGTAACTTTTTGAAAAACTTACTGGAATAAGTTGCCTTGTGCAATTAGAGAATTGGCTTCTATTCATAATTTTAAAAATCACCTAAAAGCCTATTTAGGCAGTTTTTAATTTATTTGTAAATGTTGTAAGAGGGTAATGTCACTTGTAATGGAAATTGTGTATTTTGTTTGAGTGTTTTTTATATTTTTTAATATTTACATGCTTATATTTTCAGAATTGTAAAACCTTATTGTGGATGTAAGAGCCAAATTATGTGGATATTTTGCATCCAACTCATTGTGTAACATTTTATTCGGTAGTATTTGACGGTTTGGGCCCCAGGAAGACCAGCAACCACTGTTGTGGAAGCTAATGGGGTTCCTTATAAATAAACAAATAAACAGCAAGACTCATCACTCAGGCAACATTTTTCCAATCTTTTGTTGTTCAATTTTGGTAAGCCCATGTAAACTGTAGCCTCTGTCTCCTGTCTTTAGCTGTCAGATGTGCCACCTGGTGTGATCTCCTGCCGCCGTAGCCCATCTGCCCTAAGGTTTGATGTGTTGTGTGTTCAGAGATGCTTTACTGCATACCTTGGTTGCCTTCCTATTAGCTTGAAGCAGTATGGTTATTTTCCTCTGACCCTTGACATTAACAACAGAATTTCACCAAGAGAATTCCCTTCTCTCTCTCTATGTATATATATATATACATATATATACATATACATATATATACGTATATATATATATGTATATACGTATATATATATATATACGTATATATATATATATATATACGTATATACGTATATATATATATATATGTATATACGTATATATATATATATATATATATATGTATATACGTATATATATATATATATATGTATATATATATATATATATATATATATACAGTGGGGCAAAAAAGTATTTAGTCAGCCACCGATTGTGCAAGTTCCCCCACTTAAAATGATGACAGAGGTCAGTAATTTGCACCAGAGGTACACTTCAACTGTGAGAGACAGAATGTGAAAAAAAAATCCATGAATTCACATGGTAAGATTTGTAAAGAATTTATTCGTAAATCAGGGTGGAAAATAAGTATTTGGTCACCTCAAACAAGGAAAATCTCAGGCTCTCACAGACCTGTAACGTCTTCTGTAAGAAGCTTTTCTGTCCCCCACTCGTTACCTGTATGAATGGCACCTGTTTGAACTCATCATCTGTATAAAAGACACCTGTCCACAGCCTCAAACAGTCAGACTCCAAACTCCGCCATGGCCAAGACCAAAGAGCTTTCGAACGACACCAGGAAAAGTATTGTAGACCTGCACCAGACTGGGAAGAGTGAATCTACAATAGGCAAGCAGCTTGGTGTGAAAAAATCAACTGTGGGAGCAATCATCAGAAAATGGAGGACATACAAGACCACTGATAATCTCCCTCGATCTGGGGCTCCACGCAAGATCTCATCCCGTGGGGTCAAAATGATCATGAGAACGGTGAGCAAAGATCCCAGAACCACACGGGGGGACCTGGTGAATGACCTGCAGAGAGCTGGGACCAAAGTAACAAAGGTCACCATCAGTAACACACTACAACGGCAGGGAATCAAATCCCGCAGTGCCAGACGTGTTCCGCTGCTGAAGCCAGTGCATGTCCAGGCCCGTCTGAAGTTTGCCAGAGAGCACATGGATGATACAGCAGAGGATTGGGAGAATGTCATGTGGTCAGATGAAACCAAAGTAGAACTATTTGGTATAAACTCAACTCGTCGTGTTTGGAGGAAGAAGAATACTGAGTTGCATCCCAAAAACACCATACCTACTGTGAAGCATGGGGGTGGAAACATCATGCTATGGGGCTGTTTTTCTGCCAAGGGAACAGGACGACTGATCCGTGTTAAGGACAGAATGAATGGGGCCATGTATTGTGAGATTTTGAGCCAAAACCTCCTTCCATCAGTGAGAACTTTGAAGATGAAACGAGGCTGGGTCTTCCAACATGACAATGATCCAAAACACACCGCCCGGGCAACAAAGGAGTGGCTCCGTAAGAAGCATTTGAAAGTCCTGGAGTGGCCTAGCCAGTCTCCAGACTTCAACCCCATAAAAAATCTGTGGCGGGAGTTGACAGTCCGTGTTGCTCGGCGACAGCCCCAAAACATCACTGCTCTCGAGAAGATCTGCATGGAGGAATGGGCCAAAATACCAGCTACTGTGTGTGCAAACCTGGTAAAGACCTATAGTAGACGTTTGACCTCTGTTATTGCCAACAAAGGTTATGTTACAAAGTATTGAGTTGTATTTTTGTTATTAACCAAATACTTATTTTCCACCCTGATTTATGAATAAATTCTTTACAAATCCTACCATGTGGATTCATGGATTTTTTTTTTTCACATTCTGTCTCTCACAGTTGAAGTGTACCTCTGGTGCAAATTACTGACCTCTGTCATCATTTTAGGTGGGGGAACTTACACAATCGGTGGCTGACTAAATACTTTTTTGCCCCACATGTATGTATGTATGTACGTATATATATATATATATATATATATATATATATATATATATATATATATAACCATTATCTCTAAACCACTGAGATGCTTGTGTGGGAAAATCCCAGCAGATCAGCAGGAGGCCCATCTCGTACCAATGACCATGCAACATTCAAAGTCACTTAAATCACCTTTCTTCCTGATTGTGATGCTTGGTCTGGACTTCAGCAGGTTGCCATCTCCATACCTAAATGCCTCAAGTTGGTGCAGCGGCTGGCTGATAAGATTTTTGTGTCAACAAGCAGTTCAACAGGTGTACCAAACAAAGTGTATATCCATGCAGTTTCACTATTAATCAACACTGTTAGCTAACAACTTCACTGCTAGCTACTTTCACCTTTCTATTTCAAGTAATAAATATACTGTTATCAAAAATTGTGTTCATTAAAACTTGTATTTCAACTGTTACTCTGTTCGCTAACAATTCAGCTGCTAATATTTAGCTGCACATATCAAGGTAGACATTTTTGTTTTAGATATGTTTTACTCATAATTTTAGCTAGGTTTCACAGTCTTTTTCAGTTGTTTAGCAAGCTATTTCATTAGCTTCTACATACAACCTGCCAACAACTATTTACCTATACTTTTAGAAGCTAACAATGTTGTCAGTTAGCCGTACTTTTGGCTAGCTATTCAGATGACCGATTTACTCTTTTATATTTTCTACTGCTTATTGATTAATTTATAATTAACAGGTAATTCACTACTCAAATCTTTAAATAAATTATAGTTTTTTTTTTTATATGATTTCAGAAAAAATCTTTAGACCTACTTCCTGCATACACCAGAAGTACTATCTGGGATCAGAGAAAAAAACACTGGTCTTGCAGTAGTCATCATTATTTATTACCAGAGCTCAATCACAGCTTGTTTTAAAACAGAGTAAAATTAACCCTTCAGTACATCTAAAACATTGCATTACTCTAACAATCTTTACAAACACTAGCGCACCTCAGCGTCCACTTAAATGCAACTTTCTCAACGCTATAACCTGCGTGTTTACAGTCTTTTCTCTTTTGTCCACAACTTTCCTTCTTTTTGAACAACAAATTAAGAGTTTATGTCCCTAATATGAATTGGACTCCACTTACATATTGCAACTCAAGGGTTCTGATAAACTCTAATAGTTTCAAACTCCAGTGGCCCATTT